CTTTTGTTCTACATGAGATTTCTGTTCTCATTGAGCTCACCTTAGGACACCTGTGTTATCATTTAACAGATGTGCCGCCCCAGCCAAACTCCCCATTCCGGATTTTTCCTCGTCGAGCGCACATCGCCCGACCACGCCTGTCTTCGCACACGAAGACCTCGCTCCCGCCGCCGCCCAGTCCTCTTCACGGAGTGCTGCCGCCGCTGCCAAACTCCTCGCCGCTACAGTTCGTCAGTGCTCTTCGCGGAGCTCTATCGACAAGTACCTGCACCCGCTGCTGTAGTTCGACTCGTGATACTGCTGCAGCTGCCCACGCCTTGCTACCGACGCTCAAGTCACCCAGACAGTTAGGCGCCCACAGTTTCCTGTGGGCTCATCCCTGCTGACCGACTAGAGCACGCGCGCTAAGTCTCTACCGAAAGGTATTGATTGGGTTTGCCTCAACTACATCGTAGTGCGATTCACCCCCCAGGACGCTAGGCCGGACTGGAGTGAATTAACGAAAAGCTTCGACCCACGTGGAGTGGGGAAGAGCATACTTTGTAGGTTGCACCTACACTTTGTCCGGGTATTGAGGTACCTTACGACTAGTGTCTGCTTGGGTGTCTTCACGACACTAGAGACGCAGCATACGCAACCCGTTACCTGCCTTAGCATTGGCCGCCATGACAGCTCAGCAACATGCACGTCAGCGCCCACCACCGCGCCCTAACCGTCCGCCAGCTCCCTCACCCCGTGAAGCAGCTGGCACTACGCCTTCCCGACGTACGAGCCCGCAGCCTCGTTCCAGGCCCTCGGACAGCCAGTTCGAAGAGAGCCTTGAAACTTTCGACCACGCAGACTCGCCTGACGTCAACCACCGTGCCTCAGCGCTTGCGACAGTTCCCCCGCCTGTCTCTGTGAAAAGCTGTGTCCAGATGTGGATCCCTGCGTCCCGTCTAACCCGAGAATACGGTCAGTCCGAGATCATGTCCTCGCTGGCCGATCCGAGTCAACCGGAAATCTGGCGCACGCATTTGGAACACCTCCGGGATTTCCAGTGCTACGCCGGTCACGGAATCTCCTTCGTCTGTGTCAACGAGGAAGCGCAGCAAGCCCTAGGCAACCAACAGCTGAGCGTATGTGGCTCCTTGGTTATGATCCGCAAGTACTCCAAGTATGACAAGCTCTACTATGTGGATTTGCGCCGGCTGCCTAAAGACACATCCGACAGGACTATCTACGACTATTTCGTCAAACTCGGCTGCCGCCCTGTTCTGATTGCACCCACGCAAATCCACGGGCAGATCAAATCTCGTGATCGCACGGTGTACTTCAAGTCCACAGCCTGTCCGGCGGGACTCAAGCTGTCGGACAAGGAGGCTATCCGAGAGATCCACTTCAACCCGGCCGACCCCGAGGAGAAACCCTGTTTCGTGCAGCACCGTACCGCACGCTACAACAGGGTCAAACCCCCTTCGTTACGCCCACAGGAGCGCAAGACTTCAGACGCCTCTGATGCGAGCATGAGCAGTGCGGAGGTCGCCAGATCGGGAGCTGCTGCAACTGCCCCTTCTACGTCCAATCGGCTGGATCCCCGCCCAGGCTCTCCAGCTGAAACTCAATCGCCCGATTCTTCGCCGTCGACCACTGGCGCGCCGCCTCTGGAAGAACCGCTGGATTCTTCGCCGTCGGAATTGGATGCCACCCCTCTCGTGGCTCCCCCGGCTGTTCCTAAATCACGGGCACCCAAGGCGCGGGAACCACAGTTTATCCTGGGATCTGTCGACCTCAACGATCCGGACTGGATGCGTGTCCAACACTCCCAGTATGGTATCCTGAATCATCCGGGAGAGAAATACCTTGCGCCCGAGGGTCAAGTACCATGCGAACTGACCCAAGACGACAATGACCCCCACTCCCTGCGTTACAAGTTTCCAGTTTGTCCCAACTACTATGCTGTCCTAACAGACGAAGGTTTTGACGACACGCTCCCTCCTGATATGGACATCTTTCCGCATGAAGTAGACGGTGACGACGAAGATTCACCGTGTTCTGGCTATACAGCCGACTCGGACCTGCTTCCGTATGCGGAACAGGCTCGAGCCACCAAGGACATGCGCAAGCTTCCTAACTCAGTGGAACAAGTAACGGCAGCGGAACTTCAACGCGCCATTGACGAGTTCCTGAAAGGTGAAGTGTTGAATTACACTTGCCACGAAGACACGCTGGCGGCTATCCACGTCCAGCCAGCGTACTTCCGCTGGATCTTCCGCCTACCTGAGAACCAGCAACACCGTCTATTCAAGCAACACGCAATGTATCGCGCAGTGTGTGCTGACCCCATCCCGGCGAGTGAATGGTCGGACTATATGGATCGTCTCACTAAGCACTATGGTGTCGACCTTTCACAGACCGACGCAGCCTTCTCTCGCCTTTTTCCGAATGCCTTTCAACGGAAAATGGCTCGGAACGTTGCAATCTGTGACTTGTTCCTGATGATCTTCGCGCCTCGAATCTACATAGACCCCGTAAAGGTGTTTGTGTTACCAACAGATACCTACCCGGCGAAACGGCTTCGACACTCTCCTTTCCTGCTTTGGAGCGACGTAAACCTACTCCGTCTCGCGCGCTGTGACGACATTGCGGAATACGGACAAGATGAGCGTACGCCAGAACTGGTGGTTTCGGCTCTCCGCAATCTTGCTTACTCGGATCTCCCGGCGGCTACGGCTACGGCTAGTCCTTCCAGATGGGTTCACCCTTCTAAACTCTAAGGAAGCCTGGGCCTTTAATGGAATCTCGCTCAACATGAACGGACTCAACTCTGCTGATCCCTCGTTCTATGAGCGGCTTCTCTCTACGCACCAACTGGTGGCGTTCCAGGAGACGAAGTTCTCGAAAGAAGATTCCTTGAACTCGCAAGCCAATTTTGCTCATGTAGCGGACTCTGGTGCACGCTGTTACTGGTCTCATACCACGACCCCGGACTTCACGGGACATCATGGTGTGGGTCTAATGCTCTCTTCTGCTTCCCCCTTTGGCGAAGTCGAAGACTGCACTTCCAGCGTTTACAAGGAACCGCTAGGAAACCGTTATCTACTGCTCAAGACCACGCTAGGTGCTCGGCAGGTGTATATACACGTTGTGTATGCACCACAGCAGGACAACTACCGTGGCGAATTTTTCCGCGCACTGCCAACCTGTTTTTTTGAAGACGAACGAAACGGCGAAACAGAAGACGAGGAAGACACTGCGATGCACATTGTCCTGGGAGACTTTAATGTCACCTTAGATGATGTGCTCGACCAACTCTCGCTTGACCACAAAGCGGGACGCGGCCGCGAAGAACTGAATGACTGGCTCGACTCGTTCGGCTTAGTAGACGCCTGGCGCTTCATCAACCCAGAGGAACGCGACTTCACAAGCCCAACGAGAAAGAACCGAATCGACTACTGCTTTTTGTCTGCGGAACTGTTACAATACCACTTGGACACAGTAACGCATGTCAAAGACCGTACCTGGTTGAAAGAAGACCACGTACCGGTGGAATTCCGGCTCCAAGCCAAATGCCCACCACGACTCAGTAGACCACCTTGGCGGTGTCCACCGTGGTTACTGAAGGATACGGAAGTGCAAACTTACCTATCTAAATCACTTGAAGCTCTTGAGGACAGCATCAAGATATTCCCAGGGGCCAACCCTGGTTGCCTACTGGACGAACACAAGCGCGCTGACTGCATCTACCTCCGCAAGCGTTGGCAAGATCTTCGGAGGCGGGACAGCCGGAAAATGGCCGAGAAAGTGGAAACTCTTAATTCGGCTCAGGACCTATACAACCTGTTCGAGACAGCCACTAACAAGGAGAAGTTAGAACAAGCGCGCCTCGATTTACAAGCCCATCGAGAAGACATCAGGACTCGGAACTCCTACAAGAAATTTGGTGCGGACTTACACTTAAGTGAAAGGACCACAAGCTACTTTTTCCGACCGCCCCAGCAGGACTGCGTACGTTCGCCGATCACTGGCCTCCAGCAGGAGGATGGTACAGTGACTGAAGATCCGTGGGAAATCGCCAGCGGCCACCGCCAGTATTGGGGTACCCTATTCCAGTCGACTTCGCCGGATTTAGTGCAACTACGTACTGCCACCTACAAGCCCATGAAACTCCAAGGTTTACTGAAGGATACTACTGCGCGTCTTACAGAGTCCCAGCGGAAAATGCTGGATGCTCCGATTACTGCAAACGACTTCTATTGGGCCATCATGAAGTCGCAAAACGGGAAGGCTCCAGGACCTGACGGACTACCGATCGAGTACTACAAGCTGGCTACCAGTCGGTGGGCTCGGATCTACGAAGTCATATATGACAACCAGTTATCCAAGGGGAAGATGACCAAGTTTCAGCGACGGGCTCACCTGTCGCTTTTATACAAAGCAGGTGATCGAAACGTACCTGGGAATTATCGACCTTTGACGCTGCTAAACCACGACGCCAAGCTCGGTCCAAAGATCCTGCAAAGACGCCTGGGGGAAGTACTGCCGTCCATCATTCACGAAGATCAAAGTGGTTTTGTGCCCGAACGGTCCATCCGGCACACCCTTCTTCGTTTCCAAGACATTCAAGATGTCTGTCGAAGTGAATACCCCGACGCTTGCGCAGTTCTTTTAGACTTCGCCAAGGCTTTCGACAGTGTATTGTGGCCAGCACTAGACATGGTTCTTCAACACTTCGGATTTGGTTCGACTTTCCGGGCGTGGGTGAAGACTTTCTACAAGGAAACATCAGTCAGTTTACTGTTCAACGACTGTCCTGGTGTACCCTTTCTCCTTGGAGCGGGGGTACGCCAAGGCGACCCTCTATCACCTGGACTTTTCGTTGTTTTCGTGGAACCTATGATGAACTACTTACGAGCGCGGTTTTCAGCAAAGGGCATCTCGGTGAATTCCTGGAGTTCCCCGCACTTGCTCATGGCTTTCGCTGATGACTGCACTGGGCTCCTGTCCAACATCGACGACGCAGAACAATTTCTGAGGTTAGTACTAGAATATGCAGAAGCGGCTGGACTTCGACTCAATGTACACAAGACCTGCGTCATGCCTTTCACTCACCATGTTAACCGGAGAAAACTTGACCGACTCCGCGATACAAGTGGGCTCAAGGTGCTTACTCCGTGGGAAACAGTCAAACTTCTTGGTATACTACAAGGCGCTACAGTCACCCCGGACCAACGCTTTGCAGCAGCTATCTCTAAGATGCGCGCCCGCTGTGCCATTTGGAAATACCGCGCTAGGACGCTCAAAGGGAAGGTGGTTCTACTACAAAACATCATCTTACCTATCCTGTGGTACACAGCGAGTGTAACGCCCCCGACAAAGGACCTTCTTCACACGGTGGATGTAATTATCCGGAACTTCGTCAATGGCGGAAATCCTGATGCTGAAACTGCTAAACCCGGGAAATTCGACAAGGACTGGATCTACACGGCGGTCAGTATTGGAGGTCTCGGCCTGAAACCTCCGAAAGCTTTCATTTCGGCTACCCACCTCAAGAGTCTCCGCGATGGAATTGTTGCTACTGAATCGGAAGGACGAGCCCCCCGCTGGATTGAGCCTGCGCTAGCACTCTTCTCTTCAACACTCGGCTGCCTCGGTGATGGTTTTGATATCCTGTACGCTGACATGAAAGGTGCACGATGGGGGACACTGTCTGATTTTTGGAGAGCCACTCTGGCACTATGGACTAAGCTTCAGGCTTCTCTAGGCTCGGTGAACTGGAAACAAAATTTATTGGGGATGCCTTTCTGGAACAATATCCACTTTGTCTTCGGAAAGCTCTCCAGGCCTCTGTGTGAAATACATCGGAAGAATATGGGACTTCTACTGAACTTCGGCTGTCATCGCCTTCAAGACTTTGTGGCTAATTACGGCTGTTACGTGACTACTGACCTACTGGAATCTCTACTGGATTTAGATGACTTTGCAAGCTCAGCCCCACGCACACGACTGATCAACGCGGTAGTGGCAGCCTTTCGTTCAATCCAACCGGAAACAAGCCCTTTAGTTTTTGGCCCTCCCCGACTGAGCCACATCGAAGCAGCTTTTCACGAATGGAGCTTCGACGGTGTTTCTATCTCCAAGTTGGCAAACCGGGACTTCGTGTTGTTGATGTTAAAGCTAAAACCAACGCGAACGCCGATGCTTCAACTAGAACAACTGCAGTTATCCAACTTTATGCTGGAAAAACGCACCTGGACTCAAGAGTTCGGATGGGATCGCCATATCTTGCCAGTCTGTGCTGACCTCAAGTTTCGCCTACAACACAATGCGCTGGGAGTTCGCTACAAGTTCGGATACCGGACTAGTGGCTTTACTTCTACTGAATGTATACATGGCTGCGAACACCGGGAAACTGCCATTCACTTGTTCTGGCACTGCTCCGTCGCACATCATCAATGGGCATTTTTCCTTTCGCCATTCAAGGACCTCATTGTGGGAGACTTCGCTTGGCAAATGATCATTTTTCCTGGCTCTATTCGCTTTCGAGACATGGCTACAGCCAAGCATGGTGTATTGGCTTTACAAGTGGTATTCTCTATTCTTCGCTGCTGTGTGTTTCGCTCTCTCTGGCTCCATCGTAACAAGAAGCTCTACAACCCTGAAACTGAGACTTCGGCTGCCTGGGTTAAACACCATGCTTACGCTTATGTAAAGCTGCACTTGCACAAGTATGGTGAGTTCGTGGAAAACCAAGGGTTAACGCCTGCGGTAAAATTGGTACAATACGTGAGCGCAGTATTACGGATGGACCTCAGTTCTATGACTATGGATATGGATACGACTACCGCAGCTTCTACTCTACCTACGCCAATTGCCTCTGCAGCCCAACACTAAATACTTCAGCTACGAACTTATGCCTACTCAAGCCTCTTGTTCCCTACTCGTGGAGTATCCTCTCGACAAGCGAAACTACATCAGTTTTGCCGGCTTATATCGCCAGTACATTGTTTTACGGGGGGTGGGGAAGGACGGCTTGCGCCGCCTAATGCAGACACGCGGGTGTGTCGGCGTTAGAAGTGGAAGTACGGGTTGTGGGGAAGGTCGGCTAGCGCCGCCTAATGCAAGACACGCAGGTGTGTCGGCGTTAGAAGTGGGAGTACTAGCGGCATCACTACGCCAGTACAATATTTCGGGTATCCTCGCGACGGACCCTGCCTTCGTTTCTGCAACCCTCCTAGCCCCTGGCGCGTGTAAGAACATCTCTTTTTGCCGACATCGTCAGCGAAGAAATAACCTGGACACAAACCGCCGGAGTGAAAACCCTCTCAGGACTATTGCGATAGCATCTTCCAACGTCAACAAAGTCGACACTGTCAACATCACGCAAACAACGGGCTACACGGCACAAAGGTGGTTCTCGATAATCCGCTTGCACACAGCTACGGCCTCTGTTCGAGTAGGGTCCTCCGCGGCTGGCTAAAGTCGTTCACCAGCTTTCTATGTCTCGTGGAATCTACATGGGATCTCGGGCCGGCGTTCACCAGCTTTGGATCAAGGGCTCTTTATTCATCAATCAGTCTCCCTGCGTTCACAAGACCCTTTCGTCACTGCGCCAGTACAGCTTCAAAAGGACCCCGGCCCAACATTTACAGCGTACTCAGTCAACTTCCATGTTCACCTGTATGGCAATGAACACGGCCGAAGCCTTTCTCCAGTATCCGTTGAAACGCCTTTCGGCGCGGGCAATGTGCTGGTTGTGATTATCACCAGCACTTCT